GCAACCCCCAAACTGTGACAATTCTTCAAATTGCTGAAAGTTGACGGTGGAGGCTGATGCATTATTATATCCCGAGCATTTGAGTTGAATATTTGAAAGTAAAAAAAAAGTGTATGTTTTTTCTCTAAATGTATTCATCTGGCATTGAAACCTACATTTTATGATTCCGAAAGTTGCCGGTATATATTTTTTATATGCATAGCTTATATTTATGTGTCTATGTATATTGATATGTGGAAATTAAAGTGCAGCATTTTTTTTATTTGTTGGTGATGCTGCTGCATTGGCAGTGGTGCACACAAGCATTGAAACCAGGTTGGTTTTAGTAAGTGTTGTTATATGCCATTAATTTGCCCTCACGTTCCTTGACCGAGATTGATAGTGTGCACCCGCGACAGTCACTGTTTACGCGTTCGCTAATTGCTGTCTAATAAGATGCAAATGAAATCGTCACACATGACAACGCATCTGATGAGACAATCATGAGAGACGGAAGTGGAAACCTGCACCGTTTGTGGAACGCGTGAGAACTGGAGTTTGAGTGGCTTTGTCCCACACCAACAAGCGTATGTTTACTTTAGAAGAAGTATCTACATCCCATGATTATAGTTGAACCAGCACCAGAAAATAATCTTTGCTTTAAATCGCTCCTCGTTTAAAAAAAAGGCCACCGCCCGCTGGCCTTAATTCTCGCTGGAAAACATTTTGAAAGTACAACATTTAGAACAACAACAAAAAAACGCTCCACTTTTAAAATGTCACGTAAATTACCACGCCGGGCAAAAAACGAGGGCAACAAATGAACATAAATTGGTCTTTACCTTTTTCGAGATGGTAGACGGTAAAGGCGCAGCCCACGCAATCGATTGTTTCACGCCACTGCTGGCAGAAGGGCGCACTGGAGGGAGCTATTGCGAGAGCCATCTCGGGAGTGCAATTGGCTGATTATTCGTCCATTCTGGACGTTCGCCGGGGTGTGTCCCCTTGTTGTGGCTGCCACTTCATCCGTTCGTCATCGGCCATCATCACCTTCTACTCACGACGGGTCCTGCCCAAGCAAGTCCACTTTACTCTCAATCTTAGCCGCCGAAATGGTTTATTGAATCTGTGCGTGCGAGTGTGTTCCCGTTTCTGTCGTACGCAGTGCAATTCCAAGCAGGCGCTTCAACACGCTTCGTCACAAAATGTACAGCACTTGTTCCGTTTCCTTTGAAAGTGCCCGTGATTCTGCTCCACGTGCCACAGCAGGTAGTTAATATTCAGGAATCGAAAATTATTGTGGCACATCGGTGTATTTTTTTTAAGCCCCCCCCCCCTTGAGGGTATTTATGCTGACTCGTCAATGCTGGCCAGATGTCTTGGTAGTGGTGGGAGCACGCGCACTGTATACCACCACACGTGACCAACCGATCGACCATGCTGGGCAGTATTCCCTTGTTATTCGCGGGTAATAATATTGGCTTGTGAACACCTATCTTATAATTTTTATTATTATTTTAATTAAATACGTATATAATCTATTAAATATATTAAAATTATCTCATCACTTTCTCGCATCACATTCTTATCACTTTATCTCGTCACTTTATCCATCGTCACTTTATCCCAACGCTTTATCCCATCACTTTCTCTCTCATAACTTTATCTAATCATATATTCTCTCATCACTTTCTCTCAAGAGAGGTCGGCGCGTAAAGTTCCAGATGCGATTCGCAGACAGCCAAAATCACGGATAACAAATTTGTGATTAACGAGTTGGATAGAGATGGAAGGTCCTTTCCAATTCTTTCAACTGCTGCATTGGCAGTTGAAACAGCTTCCCTGGCTTAAATGCAATTCCGAATCACCACACCATAACTGTGCGCACCTGTGGATCACCACACCATAACTGTGCACACCTGTGGATCACTACACCATACCTGTGCACACCTGTGGATCCAGAACTTTTCAGTTGTTGGCTCATTCAGAGATCTCCGAGCTGCTGGGCAATGAGGTGGCTGTTGAAGGTCGTACGACCACAACTAGATCTATGACCTACTTTGTCATTCACTTGTATATGGGGGGTTTTCTATGGGTACTCTAAAACACACACAAAAACACTCGAAAAGAGAAGGGTCCAAACTTCGCAAGCATGTATAGTCTGAGATGGTCTTGAAGCTCAATAACCCTGTTTTGGATGAATAAATAATTGTATGTATTGAGATGTAACACTGCGTAAATATTATATACAAAACATCAAACATTTATTTTCCATGTATCAATAGATGAAAAAATAAGACATTTCATGGGCAGAAGATGAGCCATAATGAGTCTTGGGCAAGCAAATGATCATTTCATATTTTGAAAAAAATTACTACAGTACTTTAATGAGCCAATAATGTCTGTGTGTACCGCGCGTGACGTCACTCCACGTCGGCCAGCCCCCCTCATTAATAATCATGAACAGGTGACGTCCTCCACATGGATCCCCCCCCTCATTAATAATCATGAGTGAGTGACGTCACTCCACATGTAGCACCCCCCCTCAATAATCATGAGCAGGTGACGTCACTCAACATCGAAGAGCACCCCCTCATTAATAATCATGAAGAGGTGACGTGCTCCAAATGGACACCCCCCCCCCTCCACATGGGGGGGCGAGACGCCTCCTCCCCCCTCCTCATCGTCAACTGACAACCCTCACTACAAAGGCAGAACCCTCACGTCACGTGATCTCCGTCACGCTGTTGAGGCATCGAAGTAAACAGGACGTCATTATGAACAAGGGATTATAACCTTTAAATGAAATATGTCTGTGTCACCGCGCCCTTACAAATTGCACGCTAATGGATGCAATGAATATCATGTCGCGCTCTGCTTTTCGCTTGGAAGTTTCAGATTTACTGAAATACACCCGTCCTTGAACGGGCAAAAGGCGAGTTGTTTATAAAAGTGAACAAACCCGTTAATTTGTTTCTCTGAACCCATCAATCTACACGACTGGTAGTAATGATTATTAAAGAGTACTCACAGGGCAATTGAGTTAATTACATTACGGCCATTTGAGTTTTGTTCATTGAAATCTTACCAAATTAACCTAAATGAATTTTACACTATTATTTTTGTAAGATATCACAAAGCCAACGTCTCATTAACATGTATAATGCGGCAAACCTAGTATCTTTAAGAAATTACAAAGTTGTATAATTATCTGGTGGAACTAAATATAGATTTAAACTTTTAGAATACCACCAATTAAAAGGGAATGTTCACTATAATTCTAACCAGAATGAACTTTTAAAGAGAATACAGAACTTAAACAAGAACACACCTAACCCATTAATTGTAAGATGAATTAATTGCCAATTTACATTTGGTCAGCACTGCAATTCGTTTGCAAGCATCGGCTAGGAAAGTTGCGGAGTAAAATTTTAAGATGTGAAATCCATTGTCTTGTGCAACCCTCCCTCGTCTACGGGTTATAATTTCAATGGCAGTTGTTGAAAATTTCTAATAATGTTGACAAAGTGATGTCGTTTTAAACCACGTAATGCGCATAATAATTCATTTTGCACACACAAAGTGGTTGCCACAAGTGAACCACAATACCTTGCTGATCTCGTCAAGGAGCATAAATCATTATGCGAACTCCGCTCACCCTCGCTAGCAGCAGCGGCTTTTGGTTAACCATTGAACAAAGACGGTCACCGCATCGCGCGCTTTCAGAGGAGCTTCTGCGGCCGTCTGGAACGCTCTTTCTTTTGATAATAGGAAGCCACCTGAGATATGCACTTTTAAATCGTCTCGATTGAAAACGAATTTCTTTAGAACCGATGTTTGTGTTTAACAAGTAGCAGGCTTTCGCGACAAATATTATTCATAATGAAGGTTTTCGGGTTAGATCGCGTAAGTAGAAATGTGTAGTAGCCCTCCACCACCTGACACGGCCAATTAGTACGGGATTTGTCACGTAAACAAAACGCCAATTAGTTACTACTTCAGCGCACCTGTGTGTTGGAGAGTAAATCAAATTGTAAATGTTGTGGATTTACTCTTCAACACACCAGTGGGCTGAAGTAGTAACTAATTGGCGTTTTGTGTACGTGACAAATCCATTGCTATTTGGCTGTGTTGGGTGGTGGTGGGTTACGACACATTTATTCGTACGCAATCTAACCCAAAAAACGTTCTTATGTTTGTGTTTATGTTGTTGTCTTTCCCCCGTACCTCCGATTAGCACGGTTGGTTACTTACATATGTTCACAGTCGGTAGCATTTTCGGACAGAGCCTATATTGAGAGAAAAAAACAAACATATTTCTCCCTAATTATCTAATTCAGCAGTGGACTGACAAAAGGCTGCGCGTGTGCACGATCGAACGACTTGTACCTGCAGTTTAACCGCTGTGGTCAGAGAGTACAACTCCTCAAACACGCTCTTGGGGAGGGGGGAAGCGCCCACCTCTGTTGAGAGCTGTCCTCTGTTGGTGGTGCTAGTTTGCCCAGTGATTGAGCGGCAGGTCGCGATGTGGTGCGGTGAAGTGTGGCGAGCTCCGATGTCTTCCCAGACCTCCGACCTGCGTGGAGGAGTAGAGAAAGTGCCCTCCAGAGCTGCCAACGGTGGTGTGAATAAGCAATTGCAGCACTCCACTTTTACACCTTAAGCCATCTATTAATTGATGAATCGATGCGACACTTTTGTACGCATTGTCCATGATAGAGTACCAGCTTTATTATATTGGAGGTGTTACAGCTCGCACCAGTGATTTAGATGAGTTTATTTTGATAAGTTAGCTGCTATAAATATCCGCATGATAAGCAACGTTGTTGAGCTATCATTTGTGGTTGCCAGGTCGCTTCTGAAAAATAAGCTAATAGCTCAGTGGGCTCTGCCTGGTAAGATAAACAAAAGATAGTTTAGTTGTATTTGTGCATTTTGTTAAGTGATCTGTTTACCTTTCCTATACTTTGCACTCCTGTCGTGTTTTTGCCTTGTCTTGTTGGTGCTTGTAACGTTCTGACCTGCCCCTTACCGGACATTTGTGAAAAAGAGCTTTACAGCTCATCGGATTCATCCAGTGTAAACACATAGTCTGATTCTGAGAGCACAGTATTTATCCGGCTTTTCTGGGGTTGCAATTGCTAATGTGAGATGATGGTGAAATTAAGAGGGGACAACGTTAGGACATCGTTAGGACAACGTTAGGAAAACCTGTCTCACCGGCATTATATATTTTTTTTACTTACCGTGAATCACTGCTGCCCCAACTGACAGCCGCGGTGGCTGCATTCGTTAACTCGGAAATCGATCACCGCGGCTCCGCGCAACTGACACGCGGGCCATTGGACGGGACGGTCGGGGGCGAAACGAGCGAAACAATCGCGACACTAACGAGAGCTCGAGGCATTCAACGCCGCAATCAAACCATTGTTCGAGAGGCAGAGGCGTGCAAGGCCAGGCGCGAATCGCACGCTCCGAAAGCTCGTGGCGCGTGTCCGCGCGCGAAGTAAAAAAAAACCCGCTGCGACTGTGCCGAGGGCCATTGCTGCAAGATGCACATGATGATTCATGCAGGCCCGATATATCTTCCGCAGCCAAATCCCCGGTAGCACGATTAACATAATCCTGCGCGGAATAGCGATGCCGTGCCGTGTGCGTCCCAGCCACACATCTTGCATTGTTTATGAGCCCGAGCAATGGAATGCATAATAGAATAGCCGTCTCGTACGTCGTGGGAATAAACGCACGCGTTTGAAACTGTGCCCGAGTGCCATTGACGATTCGTAGTCGTCGTCTCTTTGAGGTGTAAATGTGCCGCTTCGGAATGAGCTCTGAGATTGTTTCCGCTCACGCCGCCGCGACGGCGGAAAGGGTCCTCCGCGTGAGAATCCAGCCGGCTCCGTGGCGTCCTCTTGACGAGGAGGCCTAACGTTGTGAAGCGGTGAGAGTGCCCCACCACCACCACCGCGCCCCACACAATCACCGCACAGCACGCGACCTGCCGCCTCACTAGCGGCGGCGAACCCGTTTACGTTGCCCGAAGGGTGGAACGGCGAAGGGGGTAGATTTCGGAAACTTTCCCCCATCGTACAAAAGTAACGCGCCTCTCAGAGGAATAGGTATTTTTTTTTTTGGTCTCAAAAAACATCGGGGTTTACAGAGAGGGACTCGTGCATTTGCTGGAGAAGATGAACATCAGTCTGTCTTGATTTTTGTTTTTATCAGTTCCAGATATATTATTGGTTCTTTCGGTAAAGTCACGTAGAAGGGAAACAATAAAATAATAAAAAAATAAAACTATAAAATTCTCACGACGTTTCGACTGCAACACAAGCAGTTATCATCAGGTGTGAAAACCACGGCAAGAAATTTTTTAAAAAGTGGCGGTTTTTATTATTATTTTCAATTCTTTTTTACCTTGGTTTTCACACCTGATGATGATTGCTTGTGTTGCAGTCGAAACGTCGTGAGCATTTTATTGTTTTATATTGTTATTACTTTATTGTTTCCCTTCTACGTGACTTTACCGAAAGAATCAAGAATATGAATCCCTGCAGTCACGAAAGCTTTAAATCCAGATCCAGATAGTTGGGCTCCAGATTATTTTTGGGCTTGGATTTTAACGCTCCAACGTTTGATTACAAAGCTGTACGCTGTAACCACAGACTTGTTTGAGCATCCATAAGAGGTTTTTTTTGTTAGATCGCGTAAATATAAATGTGTCGTTCAACCTGTCACCACCTGACACAGTCAATTAGTAAGGGTTATCACGTAAACAATATATGCCAATTTGTTACTAGTGTGTTGGAGAGAAAAGCCACAACATTTGCAATTCGAGTACGACGTTTTGCCGGTAATTACAACTAGCATCATCGCATTTATATTTACAAACACCACATTTATATTTACGCAATCTAACCCACAGACCTCTATTGTTGTTAAATTTGTCGCGAATGCCCACTACTACGTGTTAATCTTCTCCAATTATAACCACCGTAAATTTTTGTCGCCTTTTTTTCCCTCTTCAACTCACAGCTGGACGAAAGCTCCGACCGCCACGTGGCCAAGTGCGCTGGTTGATGAAGAAGGCGACGTGGGTAATGGTTCAAATATCCCCCGCCACAGACGTCAGAGTTGTGGCATGGAATCGAACTCAGGTTTCTGGGATCATGCCGCTGTTTTCGAGCCACCACTGCACCGCTGATTCCCCCGAGTGTATTTGAATGCACCATAACGAGACCTAAACAAAATTAATTAGATAGATATTTTTTTTGAATGAACAAGTAGATTTATGAATAAATAAATCTGAAAATAATGGACGCAGGAAGCAGGTGCTTTTACATGCAGCCGCAGGCCGACTCGAAGTTTTTTTTTTATTACGTAACCACATTGATAAGCGGCACTGCGTATGAAAAACAGCATCGCATTTCGTATTCTACTCAATGTTTTATGCGGTTGTTTTCCACACTGTTATTCGTTTGCTTAAATGCTGACAGCACTTTCTTGAACTACAGCTGCAAGCAACAATTGCGGCGATGTGTAAACTCACAAGCGCAAACTTTTTGTTCGGAGAATAGATGAAATCGGGGTTTGGCTTCATGGGGCGATGTATCAGTGAGTGTAAAATAAATAAATAGATAAATAAATGGGATAAATGCCATGGGGAGCTGCATAATGCAGATGCTGTTTATTCAGAGCGTTGGCAATGGTGACTGATCAGAGGCCAATAGCTCACCGTACCTGAGAACCTCGTCTAATCACAGGTGGCTGTACAGATTTACACCCAGGGTCTTAGGCAAATGCTCAGTTGGCCGTCCTAACCCCTGATCCAACCCGCGGTCACCTCTTTCGATTGCTTTTTTTTTTGCTTTACATTTCTCTACGTCCTGACACCCCACCAGCCACAAAGACGTCGCTCGGTTGAATTGGGTCTCACGATTGTAATGAGCGTGATCAATTGGCGTTTTAGAATCGTGGACTTCGCACTGAGATCACCGTCGACAACTTCATGCCACGGTTGGTTATTGTTACGATGGAGGCCCACCCTCTCCTGAGATCAGGGAATCGCGGCCAACTGCTGGGCCACCGCTTCACGCAAAGCTAAGTGGCCCGATAAGAGTTGGCGCGCACTTTCATCCACGCGCGTTTCTCAATAGTTTGAGGGCGCACTTTCGTGCCAATGCATTTTTATTTGGATTCTGCCGCGCACGTGATGCCATTCTCGTCCATCCGTCGTTGGCATTCATCAAACAGTTGAACTTCTCGAGCCTTTCCTCTCTTTGTTTTGCTTCTTCTCTTGAAACGAAGGCGCAACAAAAACTGGAGGTGATCTGGCAACAGCAACCACGCATTGCGCGGCAACCTGCTGGTGGGAATTGAGTGTACGGCACGACGCGACGAGAGGCACGAGAATGCAAATGTTGTACGCCGTCACGTTGTGTGAGAGACTGGCTGGCTCAGCTGCGGAGGATTACACACGGCCGCACCGGACCGCGGAAATCCGCCTCTGGGGCGTTGCGGATTGACATCAAAGCAGGAGTGCATTTGGTAGGTGACGATAAGTAACCCCTCGCGCAAAGTAACTCGCGCATGGCATTAAACATTGACATTTAGAAAAGGTGGCCTCCCCACTCTCCTCCCTCCTTCTCCTGCAGGGGTTATCAGAGCTGAGGAAGACACAAGAGGGTTGTAGAGTTTATTGAAACAGTTTATTGAAACGTGCGGTTTAAACAGGTTTACATTGCACTGTAATCCGTGATGTGTTTGTGCTGATGTCAACCCCCTTTCATATCCTCTGTGTTGTGTACCTGAAAAGTCTTGTTTCATAAAAAAAATACTTAAAAAAAATTGCCCAATGAATATCTCGTCGTATTGAAGGATATGACAGATTTGTGCATCCTGAATTGAATCCATGGTTTTAATACAATGATATATCCATAAGAGGTTTTTTTTTGCATTAGATCGCGTAAACATAAATGTGTTGTTAAACCCGCCACCACCCGACACAGACAATTAGTAAGGTTTGTCACGTTATACAAAGCATGTTAAATTATCAGGGCTGTATCTTTCGCGGAAAATATATTAAAAACCAAAATGAACGATCGGGAGAGTTTTTTTACGGCGCAGCCATTGGTGGCGTGTCTAAGACCACCAAGAGTCTCCACCGGTTTACACGTGAGTGGCTGCCTGGGCTCGAACCCAGGGATCTCTCGGTCGTGTCGGCTCAGCGATCAAGTCACCGCTCGAAAGCTAAACTTGAATTTGTTCCTAAAAAAAATGAACGACGGGCGACGGCACAAATCCAAACGATTTCGTGTCACGAGTCTTACTCATTAGGAGCGTCACGTGGGTGCGGTGGTGGCACAGCGGTCTGCGGGGAGCGCTGGCGCGGCTGCGCTACAAACCCGGCGACCCGAGTTCGATTCCCGCTCGCGGGCCACCAACACCAGTGACGATTATCTGAACCGGTCCTGGACCTCCCCCTCCCCCCCCCCACCCCCCCCCCCGTAGGTCGACTCAACCTCAAATGAGTTCCTGGTGCGGTGTGTAGTAAACATCGCCAACTGGGGAGACAAACGCGGCCGGGCGTGGTGCTGGCGACCCACCCCCTCGTGTGCCACCGTGCCGGCCTTCATAGGTGCTGCTCGCTAACAGCACTTGCCCCGTGCCATCCGACCCCGTCGTGGCACCCACCCCGGTCTGACCGAACCCACGGCGATCGTCACTCGGAAGTGCGATCAAAACAAGCGCCTGGGACCGATAAAAAAAAATGACTCAACAATTATTTTACTTTCTATAAAGGAGACAAAAAACAAGGAACGTGGTGGGGGTGGGGGGTGGGGGGATGCCCCTCCAAGTGCGCACGGCACAGGATCCGAAGCTCTTTGCGAGCAGAATCCACGGCAGGCTCTCCCTTTCGAGCACGATTCGACAACATTATTAAGTAGCGGACGTCGCTGGAATGGCTTCCCTTCATCATTTCTGCACGAACTTCCACCCTTGCCTGCATGCCGATAGTGCGGCTGTCGGTAACATTAATCACGCGAGACTCGCTTCGCCTTTGCCGTGCACAAAACGCAGTGCTGGGTTTCGGACAGCGTTGCAACTCTCCGACCGATTACGCTCACCCGCCCTTTGTAAATCCACTGTTGGATGAACGATGTATTTTTTGCCACAATTCACCACGCTCGCCGGCGTGTGGCCGCTGCGCCAGGCTGGCTCAGCAATGATTTGCCACCGATGCTAGCCGTCGAATGGGAGTAGAACTCACTGAGGTCGGGTTAGAGTGGGTTCATAGTCACCGAACCTTCGCGTAAATCAGAATTGCTTTGGGAGGGAAAGCCCCATATACCCCTTCGCACGTGACGTACGTTCCCTTGATCGAATTGCATTCCTTTTGATGAAAGATGCCATTTATTTTTCTTCACAATGCAAGCACCAGTTGAAGCCTTTCCCAGCCCGTTTCCAGAAATGGGCGCTGCCAGCCGAAGATAAACAAATAAATGAAAATAAATAGCCACCCTGCGTCCCTGCTGACCTTCATCTGACGAAGCTACTTCATAACCTGTGCTTGGATTCCAGTTTCACACGCCTCGGCGAAATTACGTGTATATAAATAAAATAAATCTGGAAAACAGACACGTATCGGTATCATTTTCGTTTCATCATTTTGGTTTATTCTCCCCGGAGGATAATACAAAAGCATCCCAGCAGCGCACATATAGTTCTGTATATACTGTACATTAGAGACGAACATATCCGCCGTGTAGCCCACCACAGACTGTTGGGATGAGTGCTGTTAGCGAGCACTTATTAAGGCTGGTACGGGGCATCAGGGGGGTAGGTGGCCAGCGCCACGCCTGGCCGTCTTTGTCTCCCCAATGCTGATATGCACACGCTGCATCAGGTACTTATTTAAGGCTACGTCGACATAGGGGAGACACAGGACCGGTTTAGATATTCGTCTCTGATATTGACCACGTGTGGTAATTGAACTCGGGTTGACAGGTTCACAGCGCAGTGTGCGAACCGCTGTCTCACAGTGCGTACAGAATGTTTATGATGATGATGCAAATGTGTGCATTGCATTCAGAAAAATAATAGTGCTGACATATCATCATCGTCAGCATCATCTCCATAATATAGCGATGCACGCTTTGAATGACATTGAGAGCCAGAAAGACGAATACGTGGTCTAGACATCAGTCAAACCGTTAAGGAAAACAAGCGGGCTCGGGAAGCATTACGTCGCTAGAAGCGTTAAAGGCCTATGGCCAAGTATCCTCCTTACGGAGTGCCAACCGAAGGATGGAACGCGTCCTCGGATGAGATGGAGAGAGTTTCGGCCGGTGAGACGCAACGATGGAATGAAAGCTCCTGTGCGGTTGTTTGGTGGATTACTCCGCCGCAGGATCGTGAGAGATGGGCCGAGGGTTTTGGGGGAGGCGTTCATCCGGCGGTTGGGTCGACAGATGACGGTGGCGTGTTTGGATAGCGCATGGGCACGGCACAAGCGGCGCCGAGGTTCGAGTGCCGGGGCTCACGATCAGAAAGCTTCGTGCGCAAATCTCGGTTGGGGGAATCGGCTGAGCCCATCGTGTTTCCGGGATTAAAAGAAAAAGTAACGAAGACGAGTGCCGTGTAGGAATTCAGGAGAGGTTCTTCTGTGCGTAGACTGGTCCCCTGTCGTGGGATTGCGGAACTTCCACCACGAGGTTAAGGCTTCCAGCAGAGGTGAGCAAGCACGTTGCTTATTTTAGCGGCACGACACATTGACTTAATCGAATAAGCACGGCTTATAATACACATATTCCATTTCTATGATGAATATATCCGGATCTACAGACACTCAAAGGTTGTGTTGCCCCTCTGGATCCAGACACTTCCCTTCCCCCCAATCTCAATAACAATCAATGACAGGATGAAACTAATCAATAATAGGAATTAAGCAATTTTTTTAAATTGAACTGAAAGAACCGACGGATATTCACTTATCTCCCCGTTTTAATTTCCACTGCGCGTCTGTCCAGTGGCACGTGGTCGCTCGAGACTGATCTTGACACTCATTAGAGAATGCTGGCGGTGAGGCTTGCCGGAGAGGATTAACACGAAGAAACGTTCGAGTCCTTTCCACGCTCCAGCTGGCTCAGGCGGCGCAATGAAAGGGCCTCTCCTCGAAGAAGCTGAACTTCTTACGTGTTTGATCGAGGGTCGTTCTGCAGTGCACACCGTCCCCTATGTTCCATTCACTGGATATGCGTTAACATCTGAGTGCCATTTTCCAGCAGTGCATCTACAGCCCTTGGGGCAATCTCGCAGCTGGATGAGGGCATCCCCAAAATGCCATGCGGATCGTGGGGGATATTCTGGAGTATATGACTATACACACTGTTCACGACATTCCATGCACCGCATATGTAAATATATGAGTGCCATTTTGCGGCAGTGCAGTGGGAGCCCTTGGGCCAATCTCACAGCTGGATGAGGGCATCCCCTACACGCCATGCGGGTCGTGGGGGTTATATCACCATACTTTACCACCTTGGTCAGTCAGTTTAACACTAAGGCTTTCGCGACCAATAATATCCATAATGTGACCTTGGTCAGTATTGGTTGGTTGAAGCTGGGGAGCACTTACGTATGAGCGTGAACAACATAGACCCACAGCCATTCAGCCCTGCTTAGCTTCTGCGATCTTGTGCTATTGGGAAGATTTCTTCACGAGTCTTGGCTTCCACCGTAAAAAATGTGTCACATTCACCTCTATTTCAAAGGCAGTCAAAAGATGAGCATGCTTGATCATTGGTAGTGTTTATTGTACAGGGTGGTCCAGATGCCTGGTGGTCCCCAATTAATTGACCCCTAACATTTTGTTCCTGTGCTTATTCGCGCCTGTCTTCACACCCTTCGGTATGTAAACAATATTACGTTTTAGAGCATTAAATGGGAGGGGGGGGGGCAAAATACATATGGACCACCCTGTATATACAGCAGGCACTTGTAATTATCTGCGGCATAGATAGGCTTTACGAGATTTGACTGCAAACGAAATAAAGGCCGGCGTAAGATGCTGTGCAGGTGCTTGCGCCATGCATGTTTCAGGAGCAGCGGCAGCACTAAGCAGACGTGGCGGGCGCCTTCAAGGGGACACGATGAATGGTCACAGCTCCATCGGGTCAGATGTTTGTCGGATCATCGCGACATCTGTGCGCCCTGTGCTCTGCGTCGCCCGGAGCCAGCCCAGAGCGTGCGTGGAGAAGTTGTCGTTTTGTTCCGCGTCGAAACAACGCAAACCACGCAATTAGTTCGGTGGCTGCCTCGCATCGGCGCTGACCCCCCCCCACCCCCATCGCGGATGGAGTCGTTGAGCCTCTTTCGGCTTGTTTGTATTCCTCGCCGGTTGAATTTGCCTGCGTTTAAAAGTCGAGTCCATGGAGAACCTGGAGGAAGCGCCTCCAGGCCTCTCACCGATAGTCTCCATCCCACCTACTCTAGCCGACGCCTACTGCGGGCTTCACCACGAGCATCACAACGGTGAGATTGCAGACGACCCGAACAGAGTAAGGACTCAGTGGGCGCTGCCTTGGATAGAGGCGGGGTAGTCACCACCGTGGGACGTCACGGTGACTAGGAGATGTTAACTACCTCGCCTGGGATACAGGAGGTCGTGGGTTCGATCCAGACCACTGACGTCCCTGCTGTATATTTTGAGTTTGGTGTCTGTCATCATCACGGTGGCTAGGAGATGTTAACTACCTCGCCTGGGATACAGAAGAGCGTGGGTTCGATCCAGACCACTGACGTCCCTGCTGTATATTTTGAGTTTGGTGTCTGTCATCATCATCATGGTGGCTAGGAGATGTTAACTACCTCGCTTGGGATACAGGAGAGCGTGGGTTCGATCCCGACCCCTGACGCCCCTGCTGTATATTTGGGGATTGCATGTATCCTCTCTCCCCGTGGTCGCATGGATATTTTTCCGGGTACTCCGGTTTTCCCTTTCAAATTCAGAATCAACGTTGCGTTTAGAGCATTTGGCTGCTATACATTTCCACGTGATGGTATGCCACTTCGTTGAGCTATCGTGTGTGATGGCCAGGTCGCTTCTGAAAAAAAATCTAGGTGCTAAAATACAAAAAAATAGATCTTCTTTGGTTCTTTCGGTAAAGTCACGTAGAATGAGAATAAAATAATAAATTGATAAAATAAAATAACACAATAATATTCTCACGACGTTTCGGCCACAACACAAGCGGCCTTCATCAGGTGAAGGGAGCGAGACTGTCTGGTAGGACAGCGCTGGAGTCTCGCTCCCTTCACCTGATGAAGGCCGCTTGTGTTGTGGCCGAAACGTCGTGAGAATATTATTGTGTTATTTTATTTTATCAATTTATTATTTTATTCTCATTCTACGTGACTTTACCGAAAGAACCAAAGAAGATGAATCATTGCAGTCACGAAAGCTTTAAATCGAAAAAAATAGATGTTTTGCAGTTTAGTTTTGACGCCCTCTCAATTCCACTTCATTCATGGCACGGGCCATGCCAACGCACACAGCCC